AAAAAAAGTATTTGATAAGAAAATTCAAAATTTTTAACTTAAAGGTACTGCAGATTTAATTCCAAGTGTCCCGCCATCTAAAAAATCATTATAATACATAAAGACTGATAAGTAGATATATATGAAATTATTTCACAGTTAATTTGTTCATTTTTTATGGCAAGTTAAAATACTGAATATGTGCTATAGTTATTTGTCAGTTTTGAATTATGACTGTAAAACGTGAACGTTAATTATTTTCAACAAGGATAAAATTCTGTTACTGAGCAGAAGTGACGTTTTCATCTTCCCCCCTCATCCCCCCACATATTCCCCACTTCCCCTCCCCCCTTTTCCTGTCCAAGGCCGAGCTTTGCGTGTGTGTAGGTCAGTCTACGTGAGGCAGTGTACCTGGGCGCAAGCTGGTCGGCCCGGCTAGCTCACCTCAGGTTAAAAATATACACGTCAGCTGACCCATAGTTTTTAACACTTTAAATATATTAAACTCATGATTAAAATTTAAATTTGTTAATTAATATCTTTAATTTTGAAAATAAGCTTTTATTTACATTTAATTCTTTTCATTTAAAAATTTTTTCTTATCATTTCATCATTTCGAACCTCTGAACGTTAACGAACTCGGTTCCAGATATGGGAGATAATAAACAACACTTTTCTTATCTCCTAAGAGGACCAAAAAAAATGGCTAAATTCCAACAGTTTCTCCTTCACCTCTTGAAAAATTAAGTATCTCTAAAACCTTGTTAACTGAGAACAAACTAATACATTTCAAATGTTTACATATAGATTACAATTAAAACTCCAAATTAAAAATTTATTTCCTATAATGCCAGAGCCAGCAGAACGATGTCTTTTTATTGCATTGTACTCACGTGGATTTAATGGTTCTGTCAATATTCCAAAAACTGTGTCTTTCGATCACAATTTGACATGACACGACAGCATTTACATTTTTTTCTAAATAGGAAATTTCCCAAAAACCTAGGCATTTGGGAAATTTCCCAGATACCCAGGCATTTGGGAAATTCCTATTTTTGACATTTTTGATAATTGCTGTCACTCCCTCCAATTTGACCCATTAAACATAATTTGTAAGCCTTTTTTTAAAATACTTTTTTGTCGGCATATACATTTTGAATGAAAAAGTATAGAAGAAAAAAATCCGTAAAGTAAATGATTTTTGAGTTTTAGACCAAAACACGTTTGATTTCAAATAGAAGAAACCGAATGCTGTTAGTCCGGGGTGTACTAGCAGGCCAACTGTTCTCTGATTTGATGTACAAAACATCGGCACACCAGGGTACAGATTATATTTGTGTCGAAATTGATATTTTAAAGATTTAAAGCTCTTTATATAATTCAATTGTCACGTAATTACGACAAAGTAAAGGAACTGAGTTTTTGCCATTTTCTAATCCCTATATCTTTGCAACCCATGGCTATAGACCTTTTAGATTTCAAACTATGAAGTTTTTAGATCAAAAAGTATAAGTTTGAGATATCAAAGGTTTACACCATTAGGTTGCAAAGATATTCTGATTAGAACATTGTGAGTTTGTGGTAAGAATTATTTAATTTTTAAATGTGCATTTTTTCTAATATTAGTAATATAACTAATGCATGTTTAGGAGACTTTTCGAAACATAAGTAAAAAATTGAAGTTCTAAATAGAGTAAATGAAAAAAGTCTGAGAATTGAAAAGTTTAAAAGTCTAAAACTCTAAGAATATTTTAAACTGTCAAATCTCCTTTCCTCGCTTCATATTAAACAAAATTTTCCACTAGATTTATTTTCCAAACTCATCAACTCATTTATATAGTTTTCATTTAGATTTTAGATTTTCATAGTCCCCCCTCCTCCTTCCCCCCCTCTCCCCCTGCATAATACGCCGAGAAAGAGAAGTGTATACATAACTGGGGAATTCCCTACAATTTCCTTTCCTTTTTCTTTCTTAGACATTGCTTTCTTGGAAACCAATTTCTTTGACATTGCTTTCTTGGAAACCAATTTCTCAGACATTGCTTTCTTGGAAACCAATTTCTCAGACATTGCTTTCTTGGAAACCAATTTCTGTATCATTCTTTTTGCTTACATACTTTTTTTTTGCTTTCTATGACAATCTTTTTTCTAGAAAGTATCGCTATGGGACATTCATGCAAATGCTTTCTAGTAAACCTTTTTAGGGGTTCTTTTTCTCGGGAATCCGTTTTCTACGACTATTGTTCTCTAGACACAATAACCATCTATTACATCTTTATTCTAGGACATACAGTTCTAGGAAACCACATTAAATGTTTCTTTTCTAGGAAATTATTTTCTAGACCTTAAATTTTTACTACTTCTTTATTTAAGAATACTTTCTAGGAATACCAAGGTTTTTTTTCTGTAGAGCCCAACATTCTTGGATATACCTTTCTAGGACACATTTTTCCTAAGACATTGCTTTCGATGCCACATGTTTCCTAGGATATTGCGTTCTAGGACACATGTTTCCTAGGACATTGCGTTCTAGGACACATGTTTCCTAGGATATTGCTTTCTAGGAAACCCCTTGTCCAAAGTTGTCCCAAGTCTTATATGTCTCTTCCGACTCTTCCACAATACAGTCGACCCCATTTATCAATTACAAAGCAAATACCGAAACTGATACTTTTTATTTCAAAACACATGCTAAACAGACTTAATTGTAATAATGTTTAATAAAAAGATAAAGGTAAAAAATGAAAAATCATATACATAAAAGGAAAGCAAAATTAAAATGAGAGACAACTGAATACAGTTGGAATCATTAAAATATGAAATAGGAAGACGACATTTAAGCTATCTTTGTGCAATTGATGTTGTAATATAGGTTCAATAGTAGAATTAAAAATAAGATTGTTAAGTATACAGAGTGTATTATATATGCTTAAATATTGCACTATTTCATTTTTATAAAATTGTAAATTTGAGTCTAACAGGCGTCCTCCTATTCCACATATTTACATTTGTCTAAAGCAAAATTACATTAAACAATATAAAAGTTTACAATTTAATACTAATACTCTTTTCTCTGGATCTCGCATTTTATGATTGACGGGGTTTGCCGAAAAAAGGGGCAATACAAGACTTTTAGCATGAGTATAGTTTAGCTATTCAGAGGTGGTTTTCAGAAATGGAGTCTCTTGGTCCCAGTCTAGCGTTTTTTGTTTTCTATAAATGTGGTATGATGACAGCACTGTAAGGCTTGATAGATTTTCGCACATTGC